CTAATAATGTCCTATTCTTCCGCTCTGCAATGCCGTTTTGTTGTGGGGTATAAGGACATGTTAAACGTCTTTTAATTCCTTTGAGCTTTAACATATCTTCAAATTTCTTGTTGGTATATTCTGTACCGTTGTCGGACTGAAAACATTTAATTTTTGTAGATTTCTGATTTTCTACCAATGATATATAATCCTCAGTTATTCGTTGAACCTCTTTTTTAGAATGAAAAAATCTAACCTCGCACCATCTGGAATGATCATCTATGAACTCAATGAAATATTTAGCCCTTCCAATGGATTCTACCCGCATGGGGCCGCACACATCAGTGTGAATCAAGTCTAAAATATTGCTCTGTCTAATAGACATTTTTGGGAAAGGAGCTTTTGACATCTTGCCTTGGCAGCAAATATCACATTCAAAATTTTCACGATTTTTGAAATTCAGACCAATCATGGAGTTTTTACGATTTGCATCTAGAAGATCCCTAATATTTAAATGTCCTAATCGACGATGCCAAATTTTAAGGCTATCATATGAAGGTTCAGAATTATAGACTGAATTTTTACATTCACGAACATAATATAGTTCTCCAATTCGACCAGCAACCAATTTTACGGTTCCATCAGCACCAATCAGTAACGCTTTGTCCTTTTTAAATAAAACTTCATAGCCATTTAAAGTAATTTTTCCCACTGATAGCAAATTAGTACGCAAATCTGGGACAAGCAAAGCATTGCTTAATGTAAATACTTTTGAATCACCAAAAACGTCAGCTATGAAAGATACGCTACCTTGAGCTACAATTTCTGTTGACTGATTATTCGCCAAATTTAATTTTTCATCATTTAGATAGGAAATAGTTTTAAAACAATCAGTTTCTTTACACAAATGTGCTGACGCCCCACTATCTAAACACCATCTGGTGCTAGGTTCATTCGCACCAGTTTGAAAAACTTCGGTAGCACTTAAACACTCGTTCTCTGCATATTTTGAACAGTTTTGATCAGATTTTTGGGATTTAGCTCGGCATTTCGCAGCTTTATGACCTGGTTTCTTGCATTTGAAACATCGAAACTTTATTTCTTGATTTTTGTTCGTCGATCCTCTTGTATCGCTGCTTGATCCAGGAGAGTCACTCTGCTTCGGAATTTGAAAATTCTTTTTTAATATACAATGCATCCTGGGAAGACGTTCTAGTTTCATTTTTTCGTGCATCACTCTCTTCAATTATTTTAACTCGAAGAATATCCGGAGAAGGTAAATTATCTCGTGATTCTATCGCACATCGAAAATTTTCAAAACTAGATGGTAAACTATACAGAAGCATTATGGATAGCAAGTCTGGATTAATTTCGACTCCCATTTCACATAATTTATCCACAGCGTCGAAAAACCTATTTACATGTTCACGAATATTTTCGCCTTCGTTCATATGTTGTAAAGTAAGCTGCTTTAATAATGTAGCTTTACGGGCAGGCCCCTTAGATTGGTATATACTTTCCAATTTAAGCCATACTTCTTTAGAAGTTCCACAGCCTTTAATTTGCTTCAATTCCGATGGACATATTGATAAAATGATATCAGATCTAGCTTTACTATCATTCTTCATCCAATTCTGAAATTCTTTCTCCGAGACAGGATCACCGGCTTTCAATACTGGTATCGGCGTTTGGCCACTTACGTACACCCAGGCATCATTCTTTATTAACAGTGCCTCCATTTGTATTTTCCAGGTGTCGTAATTATCTTTACTCAGACACTCAATTCTTGATATGTTTGCAGAATTCATTTTTGTAAATCAAATCCTTAGATTCCTTGTTAATACTTAAGCTGCTAGCGCTTCTCAGTTATATACTTCACAATTACGATTTTCTAAGTATCCAGCGTTTTGGGTCCTGGGCCCATAACCTGTCGAGGTTTTACTCGGATCGAAATACTTAAGGATTTACAGTAGAAAACGTATTTATTAACGTAAATTACAAAAATATAAATATCAAGAAAATGACAAGTTATTTGATAATCTTGACTGACTTTTCTTGAAACTATCACGGCTCGCTTGAACAGCATCCAATGTAGTGCATAGTTAGTAGACTTTCTCCAACACTTATTTAGAAATAAATACAACAGTATGTTATGTGCTTTATTTAGCTGTAAACAAATTTATTTTTATTATTTTGACAAAATTATGTATAATTCCCATTAGAGGCCATGTATTTTGAACAACGTATGCAGTACCAGCGCCCATGCGGTTAATTATAGATGCTAAATTAGCATGTTTTTTTTGGGACCGTATTTTGAGTATGCCGATTCGTTTCCTTATCTCTAGCCTTCATAGCCATGTATTAATGTAGAGGTAAACTGGAATAATTTTGTAGTAGGTCTCGTTTTCCAGTCAAAAAACAATTGAAAAACATTGAAAAACATTTTTAGGTCTATACATCAAGTGTGTGGCCGAAAACCAATTATGTTGACAACTCAGAGTTGACAGGATCAATTTTTCATCAATTTTTGGTCCACCTGTATTTCTTCGGCTTGCGTTCTATCCAGTTTCTTGGGTAGAATAACATCTAAATTTGTAAATCAAATAGAGAGAAAGATGTAACAAAACTTAGAAATTTAAAACCAGATCACTAAATGAAATTTTTTTTTTAACCTAAACTTAAAAGTTCCACCCCCTTATCGTCTTTTTTAATTATTGAGATGTCGGAATATTTTTTGTTTGTTTGGAAGCTTGTAATAATTAGTTTTTATTAATATACTCGTATAAATATAATTTTATTGGCACATGAAGATTATAAAATATATAAAAATACAAATAATTGTTAAAAATGAATTGCCAAAATAAAGTCAATTACTCTGATCAAGGCACGGCATGACATGGTGTACACAATAAAACGGCAATTAATTTTTTTATTAAAGAAGGTGAAGTAAGAAAGATGGTTTAGATCCGAAAAACTAAATGCAAATTAGGGGAAATTGGGGATTTTTCATTTTCGGAATATCCAAATCTCCTTATTTATTGTTTTTCAATAACCCCAATTCCTTATTGACAATTTGAATTTCTGGAACATTTTTGGATAATATTCTGATATAATTAATTCGTTTATGGAAGAAAATATGGGAATGCATTACGGGGAGAGTAATTATTATTATTTAAAAAGTATTTGTAAGCTTTAGTGTTAGTATAGTTAGACAGTGACACTCCTGATCCTCAGGAGGAATCCTAGAAAAACAGACTGGTACAAATACAACACCATTTAGCACGTATCCAGACTAAAAAGGGGCCCAGGCACTCACTTTCTCTGGAAAGCGATCTCGAAGGACTAAATGAGGCAATACTTGAGGCATATGAATCAAGCTGCCTCATTCAAACAAATAAAACTAGTAGGGATGCTCCTTGGTGGAACCGTCATCTGTCAAACTTACGATCCGAAGGGCGGAAGCTCTATATTAGGGCCGAGCACAGCGGAGAATGGCATATAGAGCTGAGCTCTTACGTAATCAGCTTGAAAATGGTTTGGAGATGCCTAGAAAAACTCACTTGGGTCCCGGGACATAACGGTGAAAAGGGTAACGAGATTTCAGATAGCCTTGCAAGGAAAGGGACCCAAATACCCTTTGTGGGACCTGAGCCGTTCTGCGGTTTCAGCAGTAATACAATATTAGGAGAGATTAAAAAAGAATTGGGCAGTAGAAAAACCGATAATTGTAACAATATCTTGGGGCTAAGACAGACTAAGATACTTCTAGATGAATATAACCAGAAAAGATCGGAAGCCTCTTTATCTGCATGAGCAAGAACAGGCTACGCATTGTAACAAGGATCCTTACCGTGCACTGCTGACTCAAAGGGCACATTAGTAAACTGAGAGTAGTAGAAGGAGATAGTGAGTGCAGATTCAGTGAGGAGGAGGACGAAACCTCCATTCACATTCTGACCGAATGTGTAGTACTTCAGAATCCAAGGGCACTGTACCTAGGAGCATATCAAATAGAAGAGAAAGATTTATCTATATTAAAGCCACTCCAAATCCTACACTTCCTTGAGAAGATAGGATTGGAAAGGCCGTTATAGGCATCGAGATAATTTCTTGCTGCATTAGCGACATAAGGGGGCACAATAGATCTTTGTCCCATTCCCAACATAACAACATAACGTAAGCTTTAGTGTTCCCATTGAGACCGATCCAAACATTACCAATGGCATGTACATCCCATTTTTATTATTGGTAAACCGCTTAAAATTCCACTCCTTATCGTCGTTAATAATTGAGAAATCGAATTTTTTCTTTTTTGTTTTGTTTTGTTTTGTTTAAGAGCTGTACAAGTACAAGTACTTAGTATTCAATTAGACTGTGTTTGTTTATTTCTGCTTTTGCTAAAGTGATAGAAAATCGTAACTTATTTATATTTTATACCCAAATGGAGTTAAGGGAAAACTAAATGACAGTTTAACTGAAAATATTTTTACTAAAAAATAGAAGTTTCCATTAAAAAAAATAATAATTTCGTCACAGAATAATTGAGTCTATTAGTAGAAACTAATTATTTCAAGGAGGTTGATTTTTATATGAGATTAAATTTATGTGGGATTCATTTTATGTGGGATTGTTCTGTAGGGATTGAATTTATGTGGGATTGTTGTGTGTGGGGGGGGGATTGAATTTATGTGGGATTCAATTTATGTGGGATGAATTTATGTAAGATTGAATTTATGTGGAATTTAATATATGTGGGTTTAATTTTATGTGAGATTGTTTTTTGTGTGGGATTGATTTTGATAAAAATAATTTTATGTGGAATAGCTTTTGTGTAGGTATCATTGTCTTAGTACACTAATATTATATTGTGTTCTCATACCACGAATGTGACTTTTAAAGGAAGCTACTGACCCGAATAATTCTAATATAAATTCGGAACACGAAAAATTGTCGCCAAACCCGGAGTATCCTGGTAAAAAAAAAACGATGTTGATAACTCTACCCCTAAATAAATATTATACCTGGTTAACAGATGGTGTTATTCCATGGCAATGAGCCAGCAATTGTTGCAAATGACGAACTGTATTACCGCATACGCCTATTTGCCTAATTATCTTTTTTTTCACAGCATGAACCATTATTTTCCAACTAGAGTTTCTCAAAATGAAGTTTTCCCTATCATCGGGACTAACTTCTATGGTACCAGGCCAATTTATGAGATAAAGATCTATGTAACCGCAATTTAAATCTTTCAAAGATTTGGCTATTGCTTTACTGGTATTTTCACCAATATCTTTAGGATCTACAAAAATTGATAAGTATAATGTTTTGATATTAAAAAAAAATCAATTCAAATACGAATAGAATAAACTTACGAGGTTTGGTGGTTATGAATATATCTTTTCTTGTTAAATTAAATTTTGGAAGAAGTTTTTCTAAGGCGTATCCAATGTTCTTTTCGTTTTCGTATATTGCTGCTGTATCTGTTTGAATTGAAATAAATATACTATAGGTACCATTCAGATAGAATAAAGTAGAGACGACATAAACACTATTTTGCAGTATGACAGATGGACGCACTTCGAGTGATGGAAAAGTGTAGTGAAAATATTTATTTGAAGTCAATAATTTTATATTTGAAGACTGACGAAATAAAAGTGATTATTATATCATTTAAATGAAGCTATTTAAAAAAAAATGGCATTTATTCTCACCAAAACTGACTAGCTCCACTATCTCGAGTTTGATGTAAAAGTGAAATGTAAAGATGCGGACACTTTAGCATCGTCTAGCACAGCCATACTCAACCTGCGGTTCTCCAATCTTTTTTTGCAACCAGAAATACTATTAAGAAGGTGCTTTTTATAACAATTGATTTCGGTTTTATAAATCTTTAGCGAAATACGCGAAAATATTAATCGGTCACTGTGCTAAATATCACGCTAATTTTTAAATAAACGTTTGGATCGTGGCGATACCGCAAAAACAAAATGACTCCACTTTTGGCATTTTCGAGTTAACTACACTTTTCTCTCCAAAATAGTTCAAATAATATACGGCATTAACAAGACTAGAGGAACGAAGTCTATATTCATGATAAACATATGGCCAATAAAAATTAACTCCATATTAATACATTAACAATATGCACAAACAAGATTAGTGACATTTATATTGAAATATTTATAACATTATGTTCAATTACTAATAGTGTGTCTAACAAAACCAGATAATAAGAGACATATAACTTATTTACAAGATAAACATTTTGCCCAAGCCATTTGTTTTGTTTTGCCTAGAGCCATCTCTGGCTTTTCTCGATTGTACCGAAATCGACAAGGTGATTACGTCACCCTTTCTTTCCACGATACAGCTAACCTTCAAAAACCATGGATGACTGAAAATGTGAAAAAAATACTTACAAAAAAGTGCAAAAAGAAAGATTTAGGTACTAAAACTTTGCAAATCAAGCGCTACACCTGATGAATTTCACCATTATTATCACAATCTACCTGTATCCAATAATGTTAAAGACACGGTACCTAAATCTTTTATTGAAGATAGTGAGACATACATTGAATATTATGACATTTTTGTAGACTATAGCCATATTCGAGCAGTCGACTGGTTTAAATATATTTCAGGTTATTTGAAAACGGTTTGAACTATTCCCATTCGAGTGACCAAACAATGACGTCACGTTAAATTAGGTTTAAACCAGCTGCATCTGTTTTTGAAACGTTTCATTAAGAACGGTTCGAGAATATAGAAATGTCATTAATGTAAAATTGATAAGAAACATCATAGAGAATAGCACAGACAATAAAAGTCATGATAAAAAAGATTATTTACATTATGGTCATAACAAAAAATAGAAAATGCATAATTATGACGGTTTATAATTTTTAAAAATTTTTTAAAACTTGACCTAGTAATTGTAAATAACTCGCTAAAGTCGGATTCTTAATATAACGATCCATTTTTAAACTCTAGTAATATTACATGAGGTTTTCTTTGTGTGGCAAAAATTATCTGTTGCTAGAGATTTACAAACTCACAAATTGTTAACAGTGACATCATTGTTTTAAAATCATTTATTTGAGCGCTTTCAAAATTTATGACGTAGTATTAAAACTGGTTCTAAAAGTTGAACATATTTTTAAACCAAAGAGACCGCTCGAATATGGCTTATGAAGACTAGAGAGAAGGAAGCGAATCGACAATGAACAAATTTCAAATTTCCGTCCTTCTTTTTATAAAGTTTGTCAAATTGACTGTAGTTGACTGGTCGAACGTTAGGTACGTCAATGTGTAATAATGTGTTTTTTAAATAATTGGTGAAAGTAATAAATCAATCAGTCTTTTTAAAGATCTGTAAGTAAATATGATATTTATTATAAACTAGTCACAACCCGTAGTTTGTTTTATTACAGATCCTGACTTACAAAACAGTAATTACATATTAAATTTAACTTATTAGAAAAGAAAATTTGTTTTTTTCAGAGTTTTAATGTTAGATGAAGAGTTACTACTGTTATTTTTTTGTTGAACCATAATATTGTCATCGTAAATGATTTTTATAGAATCCTAAGCGTTTAGAACAGTGGCAGCATTTCATTTATAGAGCTGATAAAGGACTTTCTAGAGATAATGCTGTTTGCGAGCTACACTTTTCAGAAGAAATTTCCAAATATTATGAGACTCTATTTACTGATAGTACTGCAATGGGAAAGGCCAAAATTAAAGGCTAAGATAATACCATGTACATTCCCAAATCTCCCTGTATGTTTAAATTATAATATAAAAAAATCTGTTAACTGTGTTTTTCTTCTTAACACTATATTTATATATAATTCAAAAAACTTTAGCAACAAAATTGTAGATACTTAACAAATTTCACCATTTAACAAATCTTTTCTAATTTGGTCATACCTACCTAATTTGCATTTTATATAGATTAAATTAAATAATTTATCAATTAATACATGCAAGACTTACTTTAATTACAACAATATTGCTTTATTTAGCAATACACAAGTTTATTTTTATTATTTTCACAAAATTATGTAAAATTCCTATAAGAAGCCATGTATTTTTAACGTATCTAACAAACATCAGCGCCCCGATTCGCCTCCTTATCTCTAGTCTTCATAATGTAGACGGCTAAAATAAGCTAGGTGTTCTTTTTGTTACCAATCGATGGATTCTTACTTTATTTATTTATTTATTGTGAAGACTAAGTATGTTTTGAATACCTTTTTTCATTGGAGTTATTGTTAATTAAACAGTTTGATCCTTTTACTGATTTTATATTCAATTTTGGCCTTTTGAACAGCGTTATCTCGAAACTCTAAAAAATGTGAGTTATCTTGTTTTTACAGTAACCCTACGCGAGTTTCATGTTTTATTTATTAGAGGTCCCCACTTACTAATTTTAAATGAATGGCATAAAAAACCGGTCATCATCCAAAAATATTGCGATCCGTGTAAAATAGCAAACATAAGAATGTGGCCCGATGGAAAAAAAGGTTGAGTATGGCTGGTCTAGCATCTACTCTTTATTCTATCCTCTCAATGATAGGTACTCAAGACGAAAAAGAAGTCACCTTTAAAAAATATAGTTTTCTCTCATTTAAGAAAAAAAGAGTTCTTATATTATTTTAAGTAGGTAGTGTATTCTTAATCAGTGAAGTAAGAAATTAAAAATAATTAAAATTACCAATAAGGCGGTATCCCATTTGCAATGCGTCATTCAAAGTTCGTAAAGTAATATCGGGGCCATTTATACCAGCCGTTCCTACTAACATTTCAAATATTGACAAACATAGTTTTAATTTTTATATTATTACTTACATCCTATCATAGGTATTCTTGCTCCAGTATTAAGCGTGAAGTACAGATCGGGTGCTAACATTTTAATTTATATTATAATTTAACTAATTTCAAATAGGTACTACTCGTCACATACTTTGATTAAAATCAAAGTATGTGGCTATGGTACTACTTTTTAAAATTATACAAACATGTTAAAATGTAACCTATAAAATGACAACTGAATTTGAAATTTTAGTAGTTATTAGGCGATTTTAAATCAGATACTAGGTCTTGAATATGATTGACTACACTGATATAAATCAAAAACAATGACGTCATATTGAATATAGTCTTGAAATAGTCAAGTTTAATGACTACAGTAAAAACGTGGTCATCACGGTATGAAATGTCAAAAATGAAATGACAAATGTAAAACTTTTACTTTTTAATTATTAAATTATTGTTTGGTTGTCTTAAGCCTTGGTTTCTTTGAACACTCCGTCGCGGTGAGCGGACAGTCCGTCGACCGCTGAGGACAGCAATTTTCGCCCGAGGTGGTTTGTTAAAAAATATAGAAAATGATACTTTCTCTATGTCTGTACGTGCTGTTTATGTATTATGAATGTAAACGAAAGGTACTAAAATGGATGCAAATAAATTGTTTGCGTTACTATTGTTGGAAGAGGAAGAACAAGAGGAACTGGCAATTGCAACCGTCAAAGTTTCCAATAAGCCAGTGGATGAGTTGTTTTTGTGTCGCGATACAGAAGGTGCCTTTAATATAACTGTGCAGCGGAGGCTTTTTGGAAATTAAATCAAATTTAGGGAGTATTTTAGACTTTCTACATATCTTTTTGAATTCGTGTTGAGTTTTATAAAGGACATAATTTCCAAGAAACCTAAAAATAAAGTCATGATGTCATCTGTATGTGTGAATTTGTCACTAATTGTTTTAAAATTACTAACAATATAGTCTCCGCACACGCCGACGATTCCGCTGATATCAAACTCAACAGATATCAACCGACTCTTCGCGACAAATCAGCGGCATGATGCCGTCCTGCTCAGCTAAGCGGATTCAAGAAAACCATTCCCATTTAAATACTCTGGTTGGATAAAATCGTCAAAACGCGACGGTTGACGTCCGCTCACCGCGACGAAGTGTTCAAAGAAACCAAGGCTTTATTTGTAAAATCGAAAGAACGGCTGAGTATAGGGTTGCCAGATTTACGAAAGGGAAAAGTGGGACAACGATGACGACAAAAATCAGGTTAAAAAAAACAGGTATTTTTATAAAATAAGATCCTTTGTGGAGATCTAAAAAAAAGGTCTTCCTTCCGTTTATATTTTTATAAACTAAGTCCTTTTTCTGAGGAGATTCTCAAAAAAAAGGTCAAAAATTTCTTTATATAAAACTTTGGATTTAAAAAGCGTAGCATCTAGTTAAAATGTGGGGCATTTTCGTACTTTGGCGTAACGCGTGCCAACAATTTCGCCTAAACCGAGCCGTCTGGCAACCCTAGCTGAGTACCTAGATATGGACGCAATTAAAGGTTTTTGTAAATGAAAAGCCAATTTATTTTTGAAGATTTATTGATGAACATGGCAAAAGGTTTCATAAAATTTCAGAGGCTAAAGAAACTACAACACCAATTAGCAACTACAACACCAATTTTCTCTTCATCCGTGATCAGTACACAAAACAAATATTTATTAAAAGACTTCAAAAAAAGAGGAGGTTCTCAATTCGTCGTAATATATCTTTTTGTGGGAAAAAATGCAGTTTAGAGTGAATCCACATTTTAACAAAAAAAACATGTTTTTCATAAGTAAACAAGCCTTCCAAACACAAAAATGAAAAAAAATCTCAGCGGTCTCATGAAATTTACCCCCTCCCCCAAAAATTTTTATTTTCCATATTTGCAAAATAAAACATCACCAATAAAAAAATGATGTGTTTATTCATCAGAAAATATAAAAATAAGGATAAATCCGCCATCGGTCGAATGGGCTCTTTTTAAGGCTATTTTAGACCCTCTGAAACACATTTCAAAATATTTTTGTTGCCCTAGAAACGCCCAAAAATATGTTTTTTATATATCACATTTTGATCAATTTCTTGCTAAAGAATATGCTAAATTAAAAGAAACTGAATTAATTTATCTAACCTATACGGCCTGGAGACATTAGGGTTACCTCGCAAAAAAAATTACACATAAAATGAGAAAAACCTAACTAATTTACCTAACCTGTGAGACCAGGGGCCATCGCAGGTTGTTTCTTCAAAAAATATATATATAAAATAGGAAAACTTTAAAAAACACTAATTTACCTAACCTGTAGGTTTTAGAGCCATTGCAGGTTATTTAGCAAAAATTATACATAAACCTAACTAATTTACCTAACCTGTGCGGCCTGGAACGATCGCGGATTGTTTCGTAAAAAAAGTATACAAAAAATGCGAAAAATTAAAAACTCAATTAATACGGCCTGGAGACATCGGAGTTACTCTTGTTTATGTGTCCATTGCATCTCCATGTCATTATAATAAATTTAACAATCTCAGTAAACTAGTACACAAACGTCACCTGATTGACCATTACAAGTGAAAAAGTGAACATTTTAAAAGCGATTAAATTTATTTAAATTAGTGACCGCCAAGAGTGTTTTTTATTTTTATGCTTCAAATGACATACTTTCACATAAACTGAAAATTTTAGTAATACGCGGATTCACTCTAAACTGCATTTTTACCTTTTTGTGTATGTTCAGCGATAATTCTTTAACACGGTGTCTGATTTTAATGATTCTTTTTTTTGTTACAGGGGTGGTTCCATATCAATTTGGTCAAAATCTAATAATTGAGTCCATTAGAAAATCCTCAAATTCTTCATTTTTTATGTATAATTAGTGGTAATTCTTTACAACCTTGTCCGATTTCTATGATTCTTTTTTTGTTAGTAAAGGGGTAACTCAGAGGCGGTCCCCTATAAATTTGGTCAAGATGTGGTGATGGCATCTGCACGATTTTGAAGTCGGTTTTTTAAAATTACTTTTATAACTTGTTTATCCTTACAAATTCAAAACCAAATCCTAACTACAATACATAATACACGATATTTGACAATGTCATGCGCATTGTCAAGTTAGTGTCAATATAAACCAAACCTTTTTAAATCAGATTTAGGGGTCTATTCACTGATCTGTATTATTTTACTGGATAGGATATAGCCCCCTAAAAAACGTTCCGAAAAATTGGCCGATTTGGGCAAAAAATATGGCGGACCGGATGTTATTTAACATAACCTCTATTTTTATTTGTCATCACATTTGTCATTTAATTGTGTCAAAAAATTACGATGACACGTTTTTTTTATTTATTTAGGTAGTATCGGATAGCATTATTATGATATAAACAATAAACGTTCATTCGTGAAGACACAATATGCTTCACGTTTCCATTTTTATATTTTCGTTCATAAAAAAATCAAATTATAGGTGAATTGTCCCGAAGGACATTGCCCGCAGAAGGAATAGAAGAAGAATAAGAAGAAAAACTAATCAAATTATACGTTAGGTATGTCAAATTATCCCAAAATTCAGTTCTGTGATCCCACCACTGATCTGTATTATTTTAGATCCCACCATAATTTGCCCAAATCGGCCAGCAGTGTTGCACTTCCGGTCTCCTTGGTGGAACGGATTTTTAGTGTATTAAATATAGCCTATATCCTATCCAGTAAAATAATACAGATCAGTGGGTCTATTCTGTAACAATTCCTTTATATTTAACGACCTTTAAAAATATTTTCTTCTTTACTTCTGTCATTACTTAAACGGATCTTTAAAATACATTAGAGGACTATCTTAAAGAAATCCGTTTAAATAATGACAGAAGTAAATTAACGAATACGAACATATTTTTATAGGCCGCCAACATTTTTAAAGGCCGTTAAATATAAAGGAATTGTTACAGAATAGACCCCATAATCAGATATAGATCAGTATATAACATCGTTATAACGACGTAAGCACCTTAACCACACTTGACTTGGTCACATTTCTAGTAACTGATTAATAGTTTTGTACATTACGACAAGATTGAGATGACAAGTGATCTGTTAACTGAGATGTAAGGAGATAATTCCTCGCATTTTTACACTTGCCACTGCGCATGGTTCGTGGATAATACGGTAGCCTCATCACGGTTGCTAAGGACGCAGTGACGTCACGGAAAGAAAAAGTGAGTTAACAGAAAATATTTTACTTGGTGTCGTACTTCGTGTCGTACATTAGTTTTTTAAAAAATCTAATTTTATTGTTATTTAGTGGTGTTTATATTTTTATTTTTAAACTTTGTTCTGGTGTTAGAGTTTTTATAATATCGGTAGTGTGATTTTTTAAAAGACAAGCTACAAAACAGCAAGGAAAAATCATGTAATGATTTCCATCAAATTTCAAATGAATTACTTTTTATTTGAATTATAAAGAGAAATATTATTGTGTGAATAGTTTATTTTAAACATTCTGGATCAGGGTACGGCCTAAGAGCTGAATTCGGATCACACTTTGTTTAAATCCCGAAATATTTTGAAATGTTGGTAAGCCTGTAGCTAGCCGTAGCGTTGCTGTTGCCTGCCAAAAGTTCCAAATAATTTTTAATTTTAACTGACAAAAATCCTTAGAAGTAATAAAGGGACCAAGCCTAAACTGAAATTAAAGGCTTATGGTAAGATTTTCGAGTATTATTCTGAAAATATCATTCACTATTATTATATTAATTGCAGCTCTGTCCACCCTACATTTAAAAGCAGACGACATGATTTCTTACAAGCATTAAACACAACAAAAAGCAAGAAAAGTCAAAGGGCTTTACTAAAAGAACCTACATTATTGAAAAAAGGTTTTCTACAGAAACTTTTTAGTAAAAAGTAGTTACAAACATTTTATAGAAGAAAACAAGAACCCGTTGGACTTCAGAAGAAACATAACATGTATATTTATATCAGTATCATGCCAGTTATCCCAAACACTTGTTTAAAATTAATGTAAAAGAAGATGAAAATTGCGACTTTTGTGAAACAACCGGAGACCTTAATCACGTTTTCTTAGAATGCAAGAAATACTCAGTACATTCGAACACACTTTATATAAATCTTATAAAAAATAACATTCCATCCCCCTTAAATATTGAAACAGCTTTAACACATTTTTCTGATGATATTATCAACTGCCTCTTACAAT